GCCAAGCAGCCCTTGTTCTTCCTCAGTGCTAAACAGGAGAGTGAGAAAGCACCCTTGGTTCTGATCCTTCTTCCTTCACTGTTTGATTGAGGGCCCAATAAGCTGGTCTGTGGCGTAAATGATGCATGAGGTCAGACTTTCATTAGCGGGAAGAAGGGCCCCAGACAGCGGGGTTATACCAACAATCTGCTAACAGTCCTGACGTCATCTCTTTTGGCCTGCTTTACCCCTTCCCTCCCCAGGGGGAAAAAAAAATATGAAGATATTTTCTGGTGGTAAAGCAGGGTGGAAGAAGAGTGTAGATGTGGTCATTTGTGCTACCAGGCTAGTAACAGAAGTGAAAGGCCGTCAGCCCCTGGAGGATGGTTGTCATGGCAACCCCTGGATCTAGAAGCAGGCCCCTTTTTGGCCATTGTCTGGGGTACAAAGTCCTTGTTCAGCTTTCAAAATGCTGTTAAAAAAAACACATCCCACAGGAGAGATCCAGAGACAGGCTGACATACACAGTCATCCCTTGGGATCTAGGGGGGTTGGTTCTGGGTTCCCCCATAGATACCAAAGTCTATGGATGGCCAAGTCCCTCATATAAAATGATGTGGTATTTGCATATAGCTCGTCCATAATTTAAATCAACTCTAGATTACTTATGCCTAACACAATGCAAATGCTCTGTACATTGTTGTTACACTGTTTTGTTTAAATGTGACAAGAACAAAAATCTGTACACATTCAGCACAGACACAAATTTTCCCAGCATTTTTGATCTGTGGTTGGTTGAATCCACAGTGTGGAACCTGTGCATATGGGGGGCTGACCATTAAAAAAATAAATAAAATCCCATGAAGGCCAGTTCCTTCCCATCACTTTGAAATGGTCCAGTCAGCCCTGTTTGTCTGTTTCTCTTCCACCTGCCCAAGGCAGGACCAGGAGATGACTGGTTACCAGCAGGAAGCAGCCTGCCAGGGACCGGGCAGCCAGCCTGGGGTCCTCTATGCAGTTTGACCATTCTTCAAACACAGCTCCTGGGCCGTACTAATTAGCACGAGGTAACTCCCTGCAGAAGGGGAGGCAGGAATGCACCAAGGGTGTGGAGGGTCCAGGGGTAGGGGGTGGGGCGCATTTTGTGGCTTCCTGGCTGTAGTCAAACCCGCTGCTGACCTGAGCCAGCACCCCCACCCTTTCCACAGGAATCCAGGACCAGCACATCCAGACCCGAAAGAAACCGAGGCTGCCCCTGAGTGCCCTGTAATATCAACTGGAGCCTCCAGGAGGAAAATGAAGGCTTCCTGACCTTGCACAAAGGGAAAATAATAAAAGGCACCGGCTGATCCCTAGACTGGTGGCTTTCTCTGCACCTGGCTTCAGGCCAGAGGTATTCTGAGGAGGCCTCATCATTGAGGCTCAGCCTCTCAGGGTTCCCTCTGGATTGCAGCCTGCAGCGGAAACCTCAAGGCACAACCACAGGAAGGGGCAAGCAGACACTCTCAAGTGAGGAAGTACAGAGAGGTTACGTGACTTGTCCCAAGACACACAGCCGGTTCCTGACAGAGCTCAGACTAGAATCCAGGACTCCTGAAGGCTGAGCAGAGAGTGAGGAACACAGCAATTGTTCAAGGCAGAGAAAATGCTGGAATGCACAGGAGGCCAAAGTAGACACTGAAAACCAGATTCTAAGACCTGCAGGACTCTACTGAGGTTATCTTTGGGGCACTAATAAAGTACCAACCATGCCAGGCACCTTACCGGACATGTCACATAATTCTCTGTGACAAAGCCAGTTATCCCCATTTGGCAGATGGAGAAATGGAAACTGGAGGAATATAAGTAACTGGTCAGAGACCATCAGATACTGAGGGAAGTGCCAACTCTCCCCAGCCCTTGTGCCCCCACAGTCGGGGCCTTGACCAGTTATGATGCTGACTTTCCTCAGAAGCAGGGACAAGGTCCTGAGTATCCTTCATTTATTTTAGGTCACCATCTGCCCAGACTGTAAGACCCCTTCTAGACAAAGCTCAAGGTGAAAAGTCATGAAACGCTCTGAGAGAAATGGATTCATGCGTAGGTTGTCTGGGATTACTGTGAAGATGATGGATTAGTTTGGGGGTTATATGTGTGCTTTTGCTGTGAGCTAAACACCAATATGCTCTGTTAGGGTTTGGCTATGAGGTGTCGCCCAAAGGCTCCTGCTAATGCAGGAATATTCAGAGATGAAATGAGTGGACTGTGAGAGCTAATCAGTCCCTCCTAGTTTGAATGGCTGGGTGGGTGGTTCCCATGGGCAGGGGAGTCATGGCTGGAGGAGGTGGGTCACTGGGGCATGCCCTAGAAGTGATGTTTTTCCCACAGCCCCTACCCCTGTCTCTCCGTCTCTCTGTGTGTCTGTCTCTCTGCTTCCTGACCCCACCATGAGCTGATCAGCTTTCCTCCACTGGGCCCTTCCCCTATGATACCCTGCCTCACCTTGGGTCATCTATGGACTGAGACCTCTGAAATGGTGAGACCCAACTCAACTTTCCTCCTCTTGTCAGGTATTTTGATCACAGTAACAACAACAATAACAAAAAGCTAGCTAGAACACTCCCTTTGTGTCTTTTCCTGACATTTTACATACATCCAGAACTCTCCTAGTAGCCCAGGCCAATGGGATGGGGTCAGTTTTTACTAAATGTTACAACCAAAAGGTTTATTCAAGTTGGTCAGTCATTGACATTGCTGGCTGGCCGAGGCTCATCTGAATGCTGCTCGGGGCTGGATTCCAGAGGGATCAAGGGGTTGGGAGATCAAGAAGAAATCTGAGATGTCCACCTGTGAGCAGGGCTCATTCATTCACTCCCCAAATCCTAACTCTCCCCAACTGAATAAGGCCTGGGCTTGCTGGCCAGCTGGGAAAAGAAAAAACCCAGGCACTTGAGAGCAGGGGGGAAGTTCTATTTCCCGGGGTCCTCTTTGCAGTTCCCAGGCCAAACTTCACTTTTTCTCTATAACACAGAGCAATTGTTCTGCTTTTCACATCATCATGTGATTGTATTTGAATAAAATGAGGGACACAGGGCAGTTTCAGGGCACATTTGCAATGCAGTCTACACACGAAGCTGTCCACAGCAGCCCCGCTACACTGCTGGGTATAGAGGGCACCTGACAAAGCTCCCTCCGTCGCCCCATTCTCTGTTCTTCCACACTCCATTAGAGAACTTGAGCCAATCCACCTGCTGGAGCCAGGCGCTGTGCTGCATGTGGGAGGGATGGACCGACAGCTAAGGCAAGGTCCCTGCTTCCCAGGGACTTCCACTCTAAAAAGAGAGACACAGATGGGTAAACATAGCTGCAGTGAGGTATGAGGCCTGTCATGTTAAAAGCGTAGAGGAAATGGTAAGGGCACGGAAGAGAGAGAAAGTAATCACGGGACAGGCTCCAGGAAGAGAAGCTGAGGTACAAAGTCTTGAAGGATGAATAGGAGCAGTAAAAATGCAAGAGAGGACAAAGGGGATCACCTGTGTAGAGGAGTGCAAGATAGAGGGACACCAGGCCCTCCAGTCACACAGGTAGGTGGCTATTTACCTGAGTAACTAGCATGATCAGGAGCCCAGGAAGAGTCAACAGCTCAGCCATCTGCCCAGCTCCTCTCTTCCTCTCTGGCCTGCATCTCTCTGGGTCTCTGACCCCCTTTGCTCAGGCCCTCTCCTTCTAATTCTGACCTCCAGGATCCTGATCCCAACCAAATGTTTAGGATATACCTCCATGACCTTGACCTTTTGGACTCTTTTGGACAATAATCAACTCTATGACCTGCAACAACCTGAGACATTCCTCTTCCCCCTTCCATACTGTCCTGGGATACCCTAAAGGCCAGGCCAGCCCAACCTCCCCAACACAGACCAGATGTATCTACAAGCTATTTGATGGAGCTAGAATAAAAATATAGGAGGAGACACCAACTGGAAGCAGGTAGGTGACCTGGGGAGCCATCAAGAGGAATGATGTAGGGGTCTAGCAAATTTCTGAGCTGCCTTCTCAGGGGTTACTCTGACATTGACAAGGCAGAGAGAGAGAAGGAGAGACTAGAGCAAGAATTGCAATAGCCTGAGCAAGAATTGAGAAGAAGAGAAGGTGACTCCCGGCCACTCATGGCTTGAACAACTGTGGACCACCCTGGGGAGCAAGGACCTTCGTCCCCCTTTACTCTTCCCCTGTGGCTCTAAAGTCCTCCATAATGGTCCTGATTCACATTATTGGAGGCTGCCTCCTACCCATCCTCATCCTCATTTTCCTTCTTCTCTTCCTCTTCTTCGTCTCCTTCTCTCTCCCTCTCTGAAGCAATAGACTTACTGCCTCTAGTTCAAACCTGCCCAATTAGAAAAAAATGGGGAGGGGAAGGAAGTCAGGAAAGGAAGCCTGATGGGAAGGATGTGGCCACCCCAAACAAAGGCTCCCCAAGAAGGGAGGCCCAACCAAGCTCGGGGCTTTCGCAAGTCTGGAAAGTCCAGGGTACTCAACAAATATTAAACACACACACACACACACACACACACACCTCACTCTGTCGTGCTATCATGAATTCTGCCACCTTAGACCTTGGAGAGGAACTCAGCCTCTCCACCATCCTGCCAAGTGGGTGGTGGGAAATCAAGACCCAACCAACAGCATCCAGGAGTCCGTGCTGTGCTCCGGCTTCCCTTGTCACCAACCATCACCTTTACCGTGTCCCAGAACTACTTCAGAGAGTCTGGGCAGGTCACAACAACCTGTTTACAGACATCTAGAATTCACAGGCACTCTTAGGACAAGGGACTCGGGGGCAGTTCCAAATGGGCAGTGAAGGCTTACTAAGAGAAACTGTTCCTCCGGGTCTATTTATGCCCATATAAACACTTGCCAAGGAAACAAGGCATGTGGGCATGCGCTGGCCCTGCAGGCCCTCGGGTGGCTGCAAAAGGCAACTGGAAAGTCACATGTCATAACAGTGGAAAGTACATATGCAGCTATTCTTAGCCCTGGAATGTATACACGGTCTCCCTGCCCAGCGGCCCTTGCACAAAGCTCTAGAAAACTGTGAAAGTGCCTTCAGCATAAACAATCCAGAACTCTCCCAGGACAAATCGCTTGCCAACTGAAGGAAAGGCCTGGGGTTTACGGTTTCACTCGGAGCAAGAGGTGGAAACTTTCTGGGGGGACAAGACAGACCAGGCATCGGTGGGTGTCACTGCAGCAAGACAAGGTAAATATCCCTACTGTTTACTTCTCTGCAGGTGGACTGATGGGTCACCCAATAGACCAGGGAGTTGCTTTTTCTCTACTTTCTACTGATTCCATCCTTAAAGTAAAACCCCAAGACTCTGTACAGTCGTGTGTTCTAACTATGGATGGATAGAGAGCTAAAGATTTAACTCTCACAAGGGCCCATTTTCATCCCCATCTGTCTAGTTACCGTAATTCCACACCCCCAGAATGTCATCCCTGGAAAAAGACTAACACCCAGACAGAGATGTTTAGATGAGTTTACTAAATGACAAATACACTTCTGCTGGTCAAATGCATGGATTGTTAACTGTGCTCCAGGCTCGTGTTTCAGCCCGGGCAATCTAGTGACTTGCAATAATATTTTATCTTGGCCCCTCAGGTTAGCTAAAGATGCTGTTTGCCTATTAGCTTTGAGAATAATCTTGACCCAAAAGAGATGTGTCAGGTTTGGGGTCTGGGGTGAGGGTGGCCTCCCTTTCTGGTCTTCACCGGGTAGCAATCTTGGCCACACCCACAAACCCCTTGGTGAGGGACACAGGTGCACACCAGCGAATGCCTGCAGTTCAGGCTGCTGAGGCCGACTTGACCCTTGTCACCCTCTGTGTAGGATGGATGACGAGTCGCCAGACGAGTTGCTCTTCAAAGACCACAACTTCTCCTCGGACTTACTGAGGCAGCTCAACGGCTTAAGACAACACAGGATCCTGACGGATGTGAGCATCTGTGCCGGTGCCTGGGAGGTCCCCTGCCACCGCAACGTGCTGGCCTCCAGCAGCCCCTACTTTAGGGCCATGTTCTGCAGCAACTTCAGGGAGAGCAGTGAGGCCAAAGTCCAGCTGAAGGGCATCGACTCCCCGGTGCTGGACTGGATCGTGGCCTACGTGTACACCGGGGAGGTGCGCATCGCGGCCGACAACGTCCTCGCCCTGATGGAGGCGGCCTCTCTGCTGCAGTACCCCAGGCTGTTCGAGGCCTGCTCCTCCTACCTGCAGAGCCAGCTGGCCCCCAGCAACTGCCTGGGCATGATCAGACTCTCGGAAATCTTGAGTTGCCAGACCCTCAAGGAGAAAGCCAGGGAGGTGGCCCTGGCGTGTTTCCCGGAGGTGGCCACCTCCACTGACCTGAAGGAGCTGTGCGCCTTGGAGTTGAGAGACTACCTGGGAGATGACGGGCTCTGCGGGGAGGAGGAGAAGGTGTTCGAGGCCCTCATGGCTTGGGTCAAGCATGACCTCCAGGCCCGGAAGCGATACATGCAGGAACTGTTCCAGCAGGTGAGGCTGCAGTACGTCCACCCGGCCTTCTTCCACCACTTCATCGCCAACGATGCCCTCCTGCAGTCTTCGCCAGCCTGCCAGACCATCCTGGAGAGGGCCAGGAGGCAGATGTTTTCTCTATATGGCTCCAGTGCCCCGGACTGCAAACCCCTGTGGCACGTCCCTCCAAGGAGCTCTTACCAAGACTTCCTCATCCTCCTGGGTGGAAGGAAGGACAACCAGCAGACCACCAGGGAGGTCCTGCTCTACAGCTCACAGACTGGCCAATGGCAGAGCCTTGCCAAGCTCCCCATCCGGCTATACAAGGCCTCGGCTGTCACCTTGCACCGCAGCATCTACCTGCTCGGGGGCATGACTGTCAGCGGGGGGAAGAGTCTGGTCAGTCACAATGTCTATGTCTTCTCCCTGAAACTCAACCAGTGGAGGCTCGGGGAGCCCATGCTGGTGGCCCGCTACTCCCACAGAAGCATTGCCCATAAGAACTTCATCTTCTCCATCGGGGGCCTCGGAGAAGGGCAGGAGCTCCTGAGCTCCATGGAGAGGTACGACAGCATCTGCAATGTCTGGGAGAGTATGGCCACCATGCCCGTGGGAGTTCTCCACCCTGCCGTTGCTGCGAAGGACCAAAGGCTCTACCTCTTTGGGGGAGAGGACATCATGCAGAACCCTGTACGCCTTATCCAGGTAAATGGCTGGTCCTTCCCATCATGTAAGTGCATGAGTGTGTTTGCATATACACATGTGCATGCCCGGCCTACCTGCATGCACACACAAGCATACATATGTGCACACATGCCCATGTGAACATACATACATATACAGGTATGCACATGCATGCCGGATGTACTATACATGCATATAAACGTGTGTGCAATCCTGACACATACATACGTATGTGTGCACAAGCACACATGGATATATGCATGCCTGTATACACACACACACACACATGTCTTTTGTGGGGAAAGAAGAGGAAGAGAGAGAACAAGACAGAGAGGTAGAAAGGGAAGAAGGATAATCTTCAGCAAGAAGTTTTTCAATTTTTGAATTTTTTCAATGTAAGACTAATAACAAATACAATCCTTATCTACAAAAATTGTGTCTCCATTTGAGAAAAAAGCATATCTAGAAATTCAAGCTAGAAATATTGAATATGTCAGATAGTGAAGCCCTATAGGACTTTAGCAGATGCTTCTACCCCATATCAGTAAGGCCTTAAAAGAAGATGCCCAAGACTTGGTCCACATCTACCCCAGACCAACTAAATCAAAATCTCACATTGTTGGATACTGACAGTGTGGTTTTTAAGCCTCCAGGAGGTTCTCAGTGCATCTAGTTTGGAGAACCCCTGCCTTCAATGAAAGGAGATATTGATTTCACTAATAAGCTCTCTGAGAAGCAGGATTACCAGAGGCCAGAATATTAAGGGTTTTCCAACTTTGTGCAAGTTTCTAGTAATCTCTGCATTCATCTACTATATGAAAAACTTGAATAGCAAGTTTATCTTTAGGTTCAAAGACCCCATGAGATGCAGTTCATTCATTTTAAGTGGTGTATTTAGCCCTAGCCACTGTGAAGGCCTGGGGACATCAGAGGGAACAGTGAACTCCACCTAATCCTCAAGGACCTTGCAAGACAATTGCAATTCAGACGCTGAATACAGGGGGACTTTAACATAGGGGTGTCCTAAGACCTTCTGGAGGGAATCAGAGAAGGCTTCGGGGGAGCTTAGGAGGGAATCCTGTGAGGCCCACGTAAGCTGACCTGAGCAAAGAAGCACAAGAGAGATGGCCGGTGATGGAGAATCAGCAGGGAGAAGGGCAGGGTTGGTGCTAAGAAAGCATGAAACAGAAGGGTCTGGCATAGGCGGGGTGGGGCCCTCTGCCAGCTGAAGAAGAAGTCAGAGCAATACTGAACAGTACTGAGAGGCAGGAGTGACCCCGGGGACCGGAACACTCGTACAAAGGCCCTGCAGCACAAAGGGTGCACAGCCCACTGCCCCGAGGAACCAAAAGCCTGACAATGGTGACAGTGTCCTTGCCAAGCAGAGCAAGGAGGAGGAAGAGACAGCAGCACCAAGGGACATGTATGAGTCCCCATACCATCCCCATCAGCCCTTTCCCAAGACACCCAGCAACCCCCTCGACCCAGACTGCTGCTCCTGAGCCCCTCCTATCAAAATTCTGGAACTTTCTTAAGGGATGGGCATTTGTGGAGATGCGGCTGGTCTGGCAGAGTTTTCTAGGTCTTGTCTAGAAATTGGGATTGCAGCCTCACTCCAAGGACAGGGACATCATGAAAGAGATCCATGCCCGTGAGTGCGGTCATCAGATTTTCATCTGCAGAAGTTCCTCTGGGTGCCCCGTAGAGAAGGGCTGGGAGTGGGCAGGGGAGTCCAGTCAGGAGATTCTTCATCAAGTCCCAGCAAGAGAGAATGATGGAGATTTTTTTCCACTTGCCTTTACTCTCTAGCCCATGTTCATCTTCACCATCAGATTCTTAGTCTTCCCAGAATGACTGTCCCCAGCTCCTCTCATTTACTTGAGCCAGGAGAGACATATTAGGCTCCATTCCAAACTCTGATCACACAAAGTAGATCTGACAAAGTGCTTCTCTGTAAAGCGAACACCCCTCCCTCCTCTCTATTTTTCAAAATAGAATCAATAAATATGCCGATGATTTCACGTTGCAAAATTGTCATCGACTCCTAAGAATAAAACGCACTGCTCAAAAAAGCTTTCAGCTAGTCTATCAAGAAATGCATAGTACGATCAAACAAGATCCCTGCAGAGCCAAAAATTCTAAACGCGTGAGTGATCCTGTTGTAGTATAGCCACGGATGAGGGAAAGGGGTCAAAGTATTCATTTGGATGCTTTTCTTATCTATTCAGCACTAACTTTGAAATGGAAACTGCTCACTTGAATATAATTTAAAACGAGTGCTCCAAGGTGCTGGGTAGAGCAGGTTGGATTTCCAGGCATGGCCTTGGCGTTTTTCTTTATGGGATGGTTCCTCTGTGTCCTGCCCTGTTTTCAAGAGCTACCCTGCAGTGGGTATAGATTAGAACTACACCACGCAGACTGTGCACGTGGGTCCCCCCTTCTACCTGGCTTCCTTCCTGCCTCTGTTTCTGGATGGCATTGGGCACATCCTTTACCATGACAGTCTCACTTGCTTCCCTGGCCAAAGACCCTCCTTTGTTACCCCTGCCAAAGTATTTCTGGGGCATTAAGAGGATTGTGAGCAAATGTTGAATTTATTTTTAAAACCATACCCAAAGCTGAGCGGGAACAGAAGGCCAGAAGGCAATTACTTGAGTAAATGCAACCATGTCTGCTCTTCCCTGAGGACCCCGCTTTCCAAGAATGTGTCACCTGTGTATTTTCAGCTGCAACCAAGAGGCTTCCCACAGCCCTGTGCTGGCCCGTCTCTAGCATCCAGCCCCTCCGGGCTTCACCAACTTGAAGAGACATATTAGGCTTGAAGAGCTCCATGGAGACGCCAAACTCAACAGCCTCCACAGGAAAGGCCACACTTTCATGGCCCCACACAGCCATGAGCGTGGTGCTTAAGAGTATGCTCCTTGGACTCAACCAGACCCTGCTCTTCCACTCAAGCTGTTTGACTTTGGGCAGGTCATTGAACCTCTCTGAGTTTCAACTACCTAATCTGAAAAAACAGGAGAAATAATAGCATCTACCACATAGGATGATTGTGAAGGTCAATTTTTTATCAAAAAAAAAATCTAGGAACTAGATTTTGTATGGAAAGAATTTCCACCAAAGAATACTGTAAATGAATGTTTTTGTCCCTTCTTTTCAGTGGAGTCCATCCTATATCTCCTGTGCTAAATTTTTCCTGTGATGAACTAAACCCATATTTTATAGTTGAATTTTAAACTGAGGACGTTACCAGAACATGCTCTGGGGACTATTTCAGAGCATGGCAAGTGAGCCTGCCCTTTCCTCCCTGGTCTTTCTTCTCTTTCTCATGCTTCTTTTTTTTTTTTCTGAGATTCTTAATTCCTTTCAGGCATAAACTGTTCAGAAGCCTTCCTCATTTAGCCCCAAATTTATTCTTGGCTCTCTGACCCTCTCCAATCCACCAGAACATTTAGAAATTTAAACATGAGCTAGAAATAAAAATGATTGGAAAAGTCACTGGTTTTCTAAATACCCAAGTTGCTCCATTTCTCAATAAAAGAAAAAAAAAAAAAGGTTCCAAGCAAGATCAGCAAAATACATACCACATGCTGAATTCCCAGTTCATTCTATAGAAGGACAGCCACTGATCTTATGCAGTCACAGAAAGACCAACTTCTCATCCTAATCTTCTGTCATTTAACAATATTTCATTTATTGATAGTAATTTAGCTATGCTTTAAAAACTGTAGAAATAGAAAAACTCGTGCCTGGTTCACCTTGCTAATCACTACTTCTTTTAAAAAAAAAAAATCAATGCAGTGCTGTGATTTTGCTCCTCCCTCAGGTTTATCACATTTCCAGAAACACGTGGTTCAAGATGGAGACGAGGATGATCAAGAACGTGTGCGCCCCTGCGGTGGTGCTTGGGCAGCGGATTGTCATTGTGGGAGGTGAGTCTGAACGGAGACTCACCGCGCTGGACAGAAACTTGGCGCCTCTCATGGAAAAATGGGTCGCTAGTAGATGCTGTTCTGCAGGACGGTATTTTTAAAAGCACATCCATCCACGCCGGAGAGCGTGGACAGCCTGGCCAAGCTCTTTCCTCATGCAGCCGTTTCTCCCTGTCTTCATTCGTAAACAAGGGACAAAATAATACTGATTTCGCCAAGGTGTTGCCAGAGCACGTGAAGCTCAGAGCACTAACCAGACACACAGTTGATAAGCAGTGATTGCCCTTGTGAACAGTATTGGCTCCAATGTATGGCTTCTCTGTGCTTGCATAACGTGTCCTGGTTAACAGAGCTGGTTTGGGGGTCAGAGAGGTCCTGGCTCTACCACTAACCATACTTTGGCAAGCTTTTCATTTTTTCTGTGCCTCGGTTTCCCCATCAGTAAAATGGGGATCCTTAAAGTGTCCACCATAGAGGACTGTTGTGGGGACTTACGTCTGAGTTCCCACAGAAAAGCTTCTTTGGGTTAACTCTTGGTTGGGCACATAAGAGACAAAATGCCAGCAAGGCTGATGTGGGGGTACTGCTCCCCATCTATGGATAATTTACAATGGGAGGCAGGGCCAGGGTCAGAGAGAACTGGGTGCCAGCCCCAGTTCAGCCACATGCTGGCCCACAGAAGGGTCCCTTAACATCCCACGTGTTAGTTCAGGGTCCCAGCCTCACTGTGAGCAGGGACAGACATATTGCAGAGCCACTGACTTCCAGGCCAGACGGGTGACACTGAGCTTACTCACGTCATTTGATTTTTCAGGCTACACGAGGAGGATTCTTGCTTATGACCCTCAGACCAACAAATTTGCCAAATGTGCAGACATGAAAGACCGGAAAATGCACCACGGGGCCACGGTGATGGGGAACAAGCTCTATGTGACAGGCGGGCGGCGGCTGACCACAGACTGCAACATTGAGGACTCAGCCTCCTTTGACTGCTATGACCCTGAGTCAGACACCTGGACATCCCAGGGACAGCTGCCTCACAAACTCTTCGACCATGCCTGCCTCACCCTCCAGTGCATACCCCACATGACCACCCATTCGTGAAGTCCACAGGGAACCTTAGTTGAGATGCTTTCTGTTGCAAAGGACAGAAACCCAGCTCCAAAGAGCCTAACCCTACGGGGATGCAGGGACGGACCCCTCTCAGGACTGAAGGCACCAAGGCCTGGGGGCCTGGAGTCAGGCCTATGGCCAGAAGTCTCTCCTCCCCCAGCCTTTCCCGCTGTCTCCACCTTGTCTCTACTAGGTCTCCTTCCTCGAGCTTCTGCATCCACACAGCATGAGGATTACCAGTGACAATTGATAAACTCTAACTCACCATCTCTAGCTTTGCATCTTCATTGTACCATGATCCACATATTAATCTTAAAAAAAAAAAAAGGTGCTGGCAGGCCCTTTTTGAATCCCATGCCTGCCTCTTGAGACAATCACTATTGCCAGAATGGTGCTACTACATCCGCCTAGTCTTGAATCAGGTCCCTAGGAACAGAGTGGGGTTAACTCCTGTGATTGCCAGCCCATCCAAGACACATGCAATGGGAAGGAAGGAGTTCTCCAAAGGAAGAAATTCTGGATAGACAAAAAGCACATCTGGCCCAGGACACCTTTGCAATCTGGAACAAGAGGGCTGAGAGACCCAAGAGGACCCCTGGAAGCATTTGGTCCAGGTGGCAGCGTGAGAAATTGGCCACGACTGTGTTTGTCTGAATTCTATGGATGTCGTACATTAAAATTCCAGAGAAGTATGTGCGATTCAGTATCTCATGTTTGCAAAATGATCTCGTACTGCAGGATATAAAAACAGAACAAAGCTGGTTTCTGGTGCCAAATGATGTTTTTCTCCGGCCTCTGGGGAGCTGTAAACCTGCAGAATTAATCTGGGTTTTCATTTTAGTAAATGCTATGAGAATTGCTCTTCCAGGGAAAGCCAACAAATTCCTTCAGCGATTCCAGGAAACATTACCCTCCAGAAGCCAGGGCTGACGAGCCCTGCAGCCCCTTTATCTTGAAGCACCTCCCACCCCAGCTCAGGCTCCAGTTGAAGAACAAGCTGAAGCTGAGAACAGCGGCTCTGCACGCTGCCAGCTCCTCACCACCACCTGGGGAGATGTGTGGAACCAGGACGAGCACCCTTCAAGAGAGATGGATGGGGATTCAGCTAGCTGGGGCCCAGAACTCTGGATTTTTTATGTTTCCTAGATGAGAAGGTAAAGAACCACAGTCCTGCTCAGCTGTGGGCACTGAAGACCTCGGGTTCCATTCCCATCCTGTCCTGGCCAGCCCTATCCAAACCTAGCATAGTACACAAAGGACCCTCCACCCCGTAGAAACATCTGGAACAAGTCTTGCTGCCCTGAGCGCAGAATGCACCGGTGCTGGGCCCTCCCTTCCCACCTAGCTCTCTCACTCTGGGTTCTGGACTTTTTCTTCCTGGTTTGTATTTCTGTGCCTCAGCCTCTCGGGCTGAGGGTGAAGCTCTGTGTGTTCCCTGGACCACCAGCCAGTGCCTGCTGCTCGGCCTACACGCTGCCCCTGAGCTACTGGCTGGCATCTTACCCCAGCCGGTTCTCCTCAATCCCATCTCTCCCTGTCTCTGCTTGGAAAGGTAACCAGTGGCCATCAGAGTCCCCAAATCGGCATTTCCTGTCCTGTTGATCAGTTGGCAGCACATGACGTTGCTGCCCTCCCTCCATCTTGTACGACCTCTTCCTCACCTCGGGACACCACTCACTCTTCCTCCTCCTCCCCAGAGTTCCTCCTTGTCTCCTTTTATCCCCAACTGCTAAATGGTGACGCACCCCAGGCCTCAGTCCCTAGATCTGTGTATCCACTCTCTCCCTGGCTGGCTGAGCTCCTGTGGCCCATGGATCTGCACACCACCCTACACCACTCACTAGCCAACTTTCTTGCAGTCCTGCTCCTCCCAGGGCTTCCCCACCCTGGGAGAGAGTGACACCTTTCCTGCACACACCACTAGAGTCCAGCCCAAGCCGCCATCTTTTCTCATCTGCTTTCACCTTGACTTCCTGAATCTCTTCTCCACACAGCCACCTGTTTACCCTCCCTGTGCCCCCGGCCTTGGCGCTGGATATTAAACCCAGAGGCAGTTTTTCACCATAGTCTATCCCTAGCCTCTTTTTTTACTATTATTATTTGAGACAGGGTCTCACTAGGTTGCTGAGGCTAGCCTCAAACTTGCCATCCTCTTGCCTCAACCTCCAGAGTCTCTGGGATTACAGGACCGTACCACCATCAGCTGGGCTGTTTGACCATTTAAAAACTTAAATGTAAGTTGACAGAGTGGCACAGGAAAAAAAAGACAAATGTAAGTTGAAATAGGCCACCTCCCCTTTTAGAAGTCTCCTAAGCCTTCCTGGCTACTGAGCTGACCCTCAGAGACCAGCGAGGTCCCTCCACCTGGCCACCAACGCTCTGCCTTCCCTCTCTGTCTTGTCCCCCAACACATCCTGCTCTTCTCCCTCAGCACCAGCCTTGCTGACCCTCGGGCTGGCACATCCTGGATAAGTCCCCACTCTCTGTTTTCACACCTCTGTCCCCTGCCTGGAAATGCCTGCCCTAGATAACCCACCGCACGGTCCCTCTCCCTCTCCCCAGGGGCCCGCTCTGGATGGAGGCACCTCCATGACCACCTCCATCCCACCCGACAACAGGCCTCTCAGCGAGGCCCTGAAATAGCTCTCAGATACCTTGGGCCTTTCACTGCTGCGTCTCCAGGACGAGCCATCTGTCTCCTGTCCAGCCTCCTAAAGGGACTCGGTGCCCCTGATCCTTCCCTGAGCCACAGCCAGGGCCGTCTCTACACAGCACAAACCTGAGCGTGCCGTTCTTCTGCTAAAAGTGCTCCATGGCTTCCCAGAGGCCTTTGAACCAAGTCCCCAACCCTTCATCCAGCTCCGGGGGCCTCCTGGGCCCAGCACCCACCTCTCTCTCTGACCTCATCTTCTGCCACCGCCCTCCCTACAGGTGTCCCCAGAGCAGCTGTCTTGTACTATCCTATGCCCTGCTCTCTCTTGCTTCAGGCAAGAGCAATTGCCACTCCCTGATAGACACCCCCCTGGACATCACCTGCGAGGATATCAATTTAGACCTCACCCACCAGATTAAAAGTCCCTACATCAGGGAGGCCATCCCTGCCTCCCACCCTGGCTGGGGTCAGCTCTCCTATTAAAAGCCCATTGTGCCCCATGCATTCTCTCAAGACCCTCATCTTATTTGAAATTACTTGATCGTCTGTCCTCTGACTAGCTGCTTTTATCTGCCCCATTCTCCCTCCTCCACATTCCCAAAACTGGCCTCTGGGTCTGCATCTATGTTGTAGAAGCTCAATAAACATTCAATGAATGAATGAAAGAACTGGCAAATGAATAAAGAAGCTGAATATCTTCTCTGGGGTTTCCATCTCAAACTCAGGGAAGTCCACACAGGCACTAGTTGAAGGCCCCAGACCCTCTGCTAAGGGTCACTCTGCCCTTCCCCCCATGACCCTTTCCTGCCCTGAGCTGAGCGTGGCGGGTCTGGCTGGTATGATGTGGTTCGGCCTTCTGGGGTCCAGCCCAAAGGGCCCTATTTGCCTGGAACTGGAAGTGAGAGTCTACAAACTCGTTCTGTGTCCTCCAAAAATCCTCCTGTCGGAGACTTGCTAACGCCTTGACTGGCTTTGCTTTTCTTCTTGGTGCAATAGTTGATAAACGGCCAGCGCCTGGGGCCTCTCAAAGCTTGTCCAAGTCTCCCTAGGGGACAGAGGAACTATGTAAGTTGCCTCCTGGGATTCATAAAGGAAGATGGCATCAGGGCCAAACACTTTGGAAAACACGTCACAGGCCAGCAGGGTGTGACCAACCCAGTGCCTTTGTGGCCGCTGGGTCCGCACACCTGGACCAACCCAAAATCCGAGTTGAGTTGTAAAACAAGGTCAGCCTGTGAGGGGCCCCTCTCCATCTGCCAAGGATAGTCTGTCTGGAACCAAGGAGAAAGATGGTCTTGGCAGGAGGCTCCCTTGGCCTGGCAGGCTGGATAGAGTCACAGTCCATAGCCAAGGTCAAAATATATTTAGCCAGCGGCAGTTAAATGGAAACATTCTAACTTTAAAAAAAAAAAATGTCAGAGGACCTGACTAATTATCTCAACAGGCGGGAAATGACGCTCAGCAAGAAAACACCAACAGAAATACCAAGGGCCCCTTCCACCCTGAAACAGGAGCACAGGAACCAGAGAGAAAGGAGCAGTGGAGGGCAGGGAGCGGGCAGCGAGGGGCAGCGGGAGTGACCAGGGGAGGCTGCGGGCCTCAGCACTGGGCAATGCCACCCAATCCCAACTCCCAGTGGGCACTTGAAAAGAAGGCCTGGCTCTCCTGAGCCACCGTCAGGCCCACGGGCCAGGACCTGGCCAGCAGATGCTGAGTGGATGGTTCCCTGGCAGAATGGCCTGTCCCAGGCAGGACAGAACCTCCGCTTTCAGACCCCTCCTGCTTCTCTGCCCACAGCAGGGGAGGCTCCAAGGGTACCTCCCTGGCACCCAGCCTGGAGCCTCCAGTCCCCCTCTAGGTGGCTACCTCCTCATGATCCTCCTCACCCTCTGCTGCAGCCACACCCTCTGGTGACAATACAAAGTCCCAAGTAGCCACCTCCTACACTCAAAGCCCAAAGAAGGTGGAATTCTCCTTCACTATCTCTAACTAAAATCCATAACACCCCAGAGGGCAAATTGTGCCCAGTTTTGCATGAATGCTTCACCCTTCCCCGGATGCCCGGTCCCTCTTTAAGCCCCCACACACCATGCACGCTATGCCTCTCTACCTTTGCACATGTTATTCCCTCTGCTGGATGCCTTTCCCTGCCCTGCCTAATGAACTCCTACTGGACCTTCACCTTTTCTGCACTGCCTCCTCTTCCCGGCTCTAACCTCTTTCACTCTCTAGCACCATGTGTGCAGGGGTGCTGGGGAAGAGCCCTGCCTTCTGAAATGTCAGCTCTCGCAAAATCTTACAGGAATCCCAGGCCGCTGTTCAAATGCTACGTCATTCTCTTCATGTGGGTAATTTGGTCTTTGTTTTCCCTGAAGATAATCATGAGTGTCTTTTCCTCTTCGTTTCACTTGTTTGATTCAATTAAAATGCCAGGGCCCGTGACCCTGAATACCCCGGTGACTCCCACCACACAACAAGTCAGTGGTCCAGAAAATGGTGTTCTGAAGACACAGACAGGGATTCAAGAGCCTGAAGGGAGCTAGGAAGAGGCAGACTGGCAGGCTCATCTCAGAATAGATGAGACCAGACCGACTCTGGTCTGAAGTCCTGGTGTCAACCCAGCTCTGAGTCCACTGGCTGTGAGGTCTTGGGAAAATCAATCAACCTCTCTGTTAGTGTCTCCTCATTTTCTCTCTAGCATAATACCAGCCCCCTCAGAGAGCTTTTATGAGGATTAATTGAGTTGACATATAAGTGCTGTCCATGAATTAGCCATTATGACTACTAGTTGTGTGGCCTAGGAAAGATCTCTTTGCCCCTCTAAGCCTCAGTGTGCTCGTTGGTAAAATGGAGGTGATAATATCCCTGTGCCGTGGGTTAAAAGCCTCTCCTCAAAAAAAGCTATGATTGTATTTGGGAAAAGGACTTTGGATATATAATTACTAAAGGATCTGAGGATGAAATCGCCCTGGGTATCTGGGTGGACCCTAAGTCCAACAGTGATTGTCCCTTAGAGAAAGGCAGAGGGCGATTTGAGGCCCAGGAGATGATGCTCGAGGGCTGGGGCAGGGGTGGGTGTCACAGATACAAGCCCAGGAACGCCAAAGCCAGGAGATGCTGGAAGAGGAACAGAATGCTCCCCCAGTGGCCTCTGGAGGTAGCGTGGCCCTGTCCTCCCTGCTTTCCCACCTCTGGCCTCCAGGACTGTAAGCAAAAGTACCACAGTGTCTTGAGCCATGTTCGGGGCCATCTGTCCCAGCAGCCACGAGGAGCTGACATACGCCCTCCAAGGACCGCCTGCACGGGCGAGGTCCCAGGTGTGCACAGCCAGCAATGTTCTTCGTCGTTCCCATCCCTGCCCTGGGCCTTGGTCTCCCCCATAAAACAAAGATACAAGGTCGAGCAAAGGTGGCCGGGCTTTGCCGCCTGGCACGGGCTCCGTCACCACCCGACTCCTTCACAAGGAAGGAGGACTACCTGATTCTCCATCCCCCTCACCCTCCTCCTCACTCCAGGGTGCCCGACAGGCAGGGTGTCGCCTTCACGGGCCTTCACCTAGCTGTGTCCACTGCAGAGGACAGCGGGCTCTGGATGGTCACCCTCTGGCTCTTCCCACATGAAGGAAGGCTGCAAGCGACTCTGTCACTCTCTCCAGGACATGGTGGCCCAGGTGACATTTTAGGAGTTGTGATATCTTCCTCCTCCCACTCAGGGTTCAATGGGGAGGAAACACTTAAGAAAACCATAGAAATATTTAAGCCAGAAATTATAACTGAGTGGTGAGAGTGTCGGGTATACAAGTGAAGTGTGTCACATGTCAGCAGAAAGGCAGGGACAGGGACAGCACTCTGTGTGGCTGCAGGGCGTGGGATCCAGCCACCTCTCAGCCAGACTCGGCAGAGAGATGGCCGTTCTCCCTACCCTGTCCTCCCCTTCCTCCCCTCTCCCCTGCCACCAGGATCAGAGGGACAGTCAGGGTGGGGGATGCACCCATCTGTCATCCAAAGTCCCCTTCCTTGTTTAAACCCCTTCATCAGTTTCCTACCTCAAGAATTCTGGCTCTGCCTCTAGGCTCTTGAATTCCTTTATGTGGGAAAGAATAAACAGTCTCCATTAGATTCGATAAGAAGACAATGGAGGCGAGGCCCCTCGGCAGGCGCTCAGGCCCAGAGGAGCGCTCTCGCACATTTGCCTGTGGACAAACAACCCTTAGCTATTAGCTACAGACACAGAGAAACAGAGACTTCAGAGATCTCCAATGCCCGGCCACCACGCCTCATCCGTTGGGGACTCGGTGACCTGCTCTCTGTGCCGAGGACGGGAGATTTTTGTTCCATGGGGCTGAGCCCTGCGGATGTGGCCAAGGCCCTTTGTTTCTCAATAAAAGTTTTCAAGGAAATACTTTTGCCCTCAAAATCGCCCTCTTCTTTTTGTCTGGAATGATTTATTTTATTATTCAGTGGCTGAAAATTCATGAAATGTTGTGGTCAGAGCAAAAATGTGTCACACACGATTCCATATGTCCAAGGAGCGGGACCAAGAGAGAAATCTGACAATAGAAACCACCCTCTCTCTCCCTGGGGTTCATGGACCTCGGGCCTATTTTTTTTTTAACTTATAATATTTTTATCCCCTTAATCAAAAACATTTTTAAAAAGTAATTAGCAATAGGGTGTATGAATAAAAATAATGGTCAAAATGCTGTAATTTCTTAGATTTCATTTCAAGACTCAAATTCTCAAATGCATAGACAGCGTTTCTGACTCAGGAGGTAGAGAGGCCTGTTCCCGTCCAAGGAGGCATCCTGGAGCATGGGAACAGCAGTGGACTTCAGAAGACCCATCTGAGAAGCTGCATTTGAGGGGCAGCCTTCCCTGGACTAAGCACGAGACCCTGGATAGGTTACGAAGCCATGGGATCCTTGTGGCCATGCCCACATGCCCAGCACTCCTGAGACAAATGTGAAAGCAGCTGACAGCCAGGAGGAACGGTCCCCTACATTCCTCCCTCCAGCTCCCAGCATCAAGGCCCACTCAGCCAGTGGAGGCAAGAACCGAGGACTATGTAGAGAAAGCCACAAAACACACTCATGGAACCAGGTATAGGATCCCAGGCCCCTCACACCCACTTCCAGCCACTCGACTCTCCAAGGGGAAACGACCATCCTCACTTCCAACACCTTGAATTGGTTGCACCTGATTTTGAAAGGCATACAAATGGAATCCGAAAGTCGGAATTCTTCACACTGGCCCCTCTTGCTCAACATGAAGCTGTGCAGTTCCCCAGGTGGCCATGTGCACATCCAGCCACCAGGATCATCTTGTTTAAACCCCTTGTTTAAATCTGCTCATTCTCGTGGTTTAGAATACTGGGCCACAAGGATAGCACAACTCCTGCTTCTGATGGATGCTTGGCGAGTTCTTGGGCCATTTCCCATGTGGAGTTATTGCAGACATTCTCGTGCAGAACTTTTGGTGAACGGATGAACACAGATCTGTTCAGTACCTAACTGGGAATGAAGAGGCTGGGTCGTAGGACTTCACATACTTGTTTCCCAAACTCGCCGTCCCCATCTCTTCCCCTGCCAGCAGTGTCTGGGATCTCCAGGGGTTCCACAGCCTCACCCCTAGTGGGGATTTTCTGCTTTTTTAATCATGGACATTCTGGTGGGTGGAATGTGGGATCACATTGCACAGTG